TGCTGGGCCTACAAGGAGAGAGTTATTAATGGGGTGGGGAGAGGGGGAAGAAAAAGTATGTGAAGGAGAAAGAAGGGAGGCGTCAGCAGTAGCCTGTTTTCGCTTACCCGCGTGGTCAAGAGCACAAGAACAGCGGATCCATCCAAACGATCATGTTCAAAATATGACGTAGCAAAAAACTTAAGAGTTTGTGCGCCTAGTCATCTGCTAGGCGGCCGGCAAATTCTTATACTTCATGTTGGATATCAGCAAAGTGTAGCAAATTTTCCAGCTCACCTGTCTCATTCACCACTTCTGTAACGTATATTCTTTTTTGGATTATTCAGTCCGCTAACTGATTTGCCATTAGAAATGTTCCTGGAGCTGTACTGAATTAACTCAGAAACGGCTGCATGAACTCTTAGAGGTTTTGGGACGAAGTTGATGCCAATCACCCTCTCATTTTATAACGCGGTTGGTAATTCATTCATCCATTTTCCATTGTTTTCTTCATTATCCATATTCTGGGACACCATTATCTCATTCAGTCAGTTGGACTCCTTTTCGACGGTGGAAGGCTAACGATAGTCCGAGTGTTTAATGTCACGTGACAGTGAAATTTCCACCAACAGTTAAACAGAATTTTGCAACTAATGTCAGAAACATGCAAACCCCAATGCCCTGCTACTTGCTTGTAGTGCTGACCAATGCAAGCAGCTCTGTTACCTCTCTAACAAATGTTAAGACACTCAGACATTCAAAATCATGTCTTGTCCACATCTCATCAAAAAACAGATAATATCACAGAAATACTCAAACAGCCGGTGAAATAATGCTCGTAAAGTTTAACAATGGTGATAGAAGCCTCGGTACCATAAGTACTTAACCCATTCCTTATGGTGCCACATGTACAACGAGGCTATTCATTGTAGTCCAGAACAGTTTTTCTCAAGGTCCTCTAATTATTTCGGGCTGTGCGTCGCTAAAACACCACTGTAACTTAGTAGCCCTATAAAAGTTTACCATATGGAGGAATGAAGTCAGGTTTTCGGAAATGTGCGAGTTTTCCATTCTCAAACACGAATTAAATCTCACTATTGTTTGCATATGGGTGCAATTCGCCAAATCCCACTTTCTTTATGGGCACCAGCAGTCATGCATGACCATTCAGTAGGGCTGACATAGACATCGGTCGGTCCAGCAACATTTTTGATATTTTTTTCAATAACGGACCATGCGACCTTTTCATACACAAAGCACCGACGACGTCATTTCGCCCGGTGATGAAGTGTATGGAACGACCGCGATCAGTTTGTTGAACAGACAAACTTGAGCCAGCAATGACGGCCACGGCAGCCAAAACAAGAGTTATGAAACGTGAAAAGGTTACCACTTGTGTTGCACAGCGATACTTACGCGGTTCCAAGTGAGTGACCCCAGAAGAACACAGGGCTTGAATTGCAATGGTCATAGACATACTGCAAAATGGCCATAGAATCTTGAACACAGTCTAGCTCGCCAGTCATCTTGCCACTAGAATCCCCGTAGCCTGAAGTACAAATCAAGAGGTAACGTTTGAATTCGTTACTTACGGTCGTCGATATCCAAATACAGGGAAATGTGGTTTTACCATGCCAGGTCTCAATAAATACCTGTCACAATGTGTACTTTATTTCCAGTAATCGGCAGGGCATTTAGCATTACATTATTGAAATCAACGCTGAAACAGATGATGCATGCTTAAAACAGCCTGGGAATTATTGTTATGGAAAACTGTTTTTCTTCCTCATGTTCTCAGTTGACGGTAACTCCAAAAAAATATAGGTCTATTGGTCTTGACTCACTTACCCCGATAGTCGAAGGTGATCACATTGTAACCGAGAGACGAAAGCAGTTTGTACTTGTCAATACGCCAAGACACTGACCGCGTTTTCGTGTTACCGTGAAAGTAGATAAAAATAGGCGTGTTATTGTGAAGTTCATGTTCGAATAGATCTTCACAAGGCTCATAGCCGTCCGCGGCGCGCGCACTCTCGTACGGCAGTATATGCCTGATGGGGAGTAAAATGGCATAGTTTAGGAAAAGATATTTAGAACAATCAGAATATAATCTTACGTCATGCTGTTGTGTGACAGTGACGGGTGTGTATCCGGAAACTCACAACGAAACCACTTAATGAAGGCTTCAGAAAAGCTCTCAGAAGATTGGACATGACACTAAATGAAAGCCAGAGAGACAGGTAACGCCTTGGTTTTTATCGCCTTCTCTACGAACGTATGTATAAACACGTTTCATATGTACTACTTTTTCTCGCTGGGCGCGCGGGAAAAAAGGACAAAAGTCCTTCTGTCAGTGACCTAAACAACTGAGTCAAATTCTACTCCGCGGAACTGATGAAGACCTCTGGCGACCGCTGATGAGTGTAGGCTATTTTCCGCGTGCTTTGAATGTTCAGTCCAACTTAGCCTAAACTAATTTGTTGAGGCTCTGTAGCACACAAATGCGTGAAAAGCCGACGAATCACAGCTTTGCACAACACTTTTCGGGCCAGAACTGGAAGCTTTCCCGTATTGTTGTTTCACTGATAGAAGCCGTCCTAAATCAGCCTCGGTCACATCTTGTGTTCACTTCATTGTGGTGGTATCCATATGACATTACAAATTCCGCAGAAACATCAATGTAGATGTGCGCAGGGTATAACTATGAACCCGATTGTTTATTTACTTGAGAAATAGCAAAAAAGTGACTTAAAATTGTATGACCTACTCCTGGGGAATGCAGTGATATGCAAGGCGATGTCGTTCAGAGCTACTGGCAGGAGAAGAGGTACTTCTCAGAATAAACAGCAACATAACCAAAGTAGGTGCACTTAACTTAACCTCGTACACGTCATTTAGATCATCACTTGTTCGAGCTCATTCCTTGTGTAGGACCTTAGACTTACCCACCCTGGAACAGCGCCGTCTCATCTCAGTGTCCCTACCCAGGGAAAAAGCAATGACCAGCGCAGCTGAGATTGGTGGTAATGACTTTCATACTTCGCCAAACAAATGGTAAAACAATTGAAGCTCTTTTAGGTATACTTCGTGCAAAATCCATGATTCGGATCCATAAAGCAGTGTACACCGCACATTTATTGTGTACAAACCTACCCGTCAACTGGATCAATACCGTAGATGTGGGACGTGAACGAAAGTCACCTAGTTTATCTAGAGTCAAAAGGTACTTTATATCCAGCTGATTCACCGAGGCTTGGTGACTGACTCAGACACGGTTAGCAGGTTTGATGAACCGACTAAGTGTACGTTTACCCTGTTTGCGACTACCTTTGTGTCTACCAGCCATTTGCAATGAATCAGTTGCGGTTGTGACTCTTGTCGATTTGATTTCATCTGCTTGCGTGAGTTTTGCTATACAAGGTTTTAAGGTCCCAAAATTTGAAAACCGCTCCGTAGAAATCAGCGGCATTTGGTGAAGTGTTCTTAGAAGTTTGACTCAAACAATGAAATACTGGGAAGACCTTTGGTCTTTGTTCTAAATAACACCGATCAAATTTTAGAAAACAAATAAACCGCACTCACCATACTCCAAGTTTGTCACCGCTGTCTGCAGTCTCCACATAAAAATTTCTCGTTGACTTGTGTGATAGCCGATGCTGTTCGAAACAAGTATAGTACTCATGTTTGTCGCCCGAGGTGTCTGAAATCACATAGCACAGTGACAAGGTCACTACTGTTGTCTACAGAGGAGAACAATAGACTTAAAAGCATGCATAATGCTCAGCTTTACAGTTGTGTGGAAGCGGAGCAGAAGTGGATGGCACCACTGACAAGTGTGCACACCAGATAAAGAGCTGGCGAGAACGATCAGAGCATAGATGGTCAGATTGTGTGAGTGAATGTGTTATTTAAATGTGCACATCTCTGTCCAAGCTAGCAGTGGAAACTGACTTGACAGATTTTACGCACTACACAAGATGAGCATGGTGCCTACAGCTTAGAACAAATTTGTCAGCCGAGTAATATTTAGCAAACCGACGCTTCTTATCCCCCATTGTGCTGCAGATGAACGGATATGATACAAAAGTTTCGCTTTAACATCTTTCAGATAGGCGAGCCGACCGAGACAAACCTTAAATCAACCAATAATACGTTCTCGACATTAACTACTGTACACCTAGCTGTTGCAGGCAAGCACCTTCGAAAACGAAGTTTGTAACGGTGAAGGAGTATCAGATCCAACTACCGCCAAAAGCAGTTTCAATCCTGAATAATGGAAAAAAGTCATTTTGAACGTCAAGCGTAAAATGAGGTTAAGGCAGAGTGTCTCTCTGTCTAGAACATCCAGCTATTTGGCCTATGTATCGTTTGATAGCTGATAACTCTTTGGAAAAAATCCCACGACACATTTTCTGCTCATAGCGACTGTCAATTTGATTTCACATAGAAGAAAACAGCCTAAAAGCAAAGGGTGGGTTCGAACTCTGGGACTCTAACTCTAATGTTTGCGTATTAGCCTTCATGTTGCCGTCAAAAGTGTACCTTAAATGACTGGTTTAGGAGAGGAGCAAGCTACATGTATATCAACGAATTCGACCTTAATATTGCGTAACAAACTTGATCTCCGTTCCCTTGGGTGATCTGTTTGTGATTAGCTAGCATAAAGTCTATTTTAGGAAATCATTACATCTTCACTGATCCACTTGGTTATATGACGTGATTATGTATGACCTGACTATATGACATTTTCGAGCCATTCTTATTCGGTTCAGCTAACACCTAAAGGCGGAAAACGGTACACTGGACGTCGACTGCTCCAACCTTGATATGGAGTGACCTTACGCAGCATTCCATTAGTTGAGCGGAAAAATGGTTCTCACAAGACCAGAACACATTCCCAAGTATATACTCCAGATCTTGTCAGGAAAGCTAAAATTGCAATCCTGTCCTGTCATTCACCAGACATCTACTGAATATTGGCCATCGGACTGAGTCAACAAACTCGTTCCGAATCTTGCTGCGTGGCACAAACCCCAGGGTTCTAGCGATAACCCAAATGCCACTGAACATTCTAAACCATCTTCGACTGTATGGAAAAACAGTCGAAACATACGGTTTGGTTACCTTGACACTGATAAGCTGCTTGCAGAAATCAAACATTTAGTATCTGTCCAACTTTGTTTCTCCTCTCTATTTATGTAACTCGCAAGTTTTACATCTGTGAATGACGACAGCGAGAGAAATATTAACTTCACAGGATATGACTCTTAATACTGCCGACTGATAACCCCTTTGTATAACGTTCACCGGCCTTTACGATTGCAAAGCTAGTGAGACAAACACCTGATGATTGTACAAATCCAAGACAGTAAATATGTTTGTTGACTGAACTGTGCCAAATTGTCAGAACCCAAAAGAATGCATGACCAAGGTCCAATTATGGAATTAACCCAGTTTCTCTAGACATTTTTTTCACAAGCTTATAGTTTCATCCAAAGGTCACCCAAAAACTGGACTTACAGCAGTTGACATGCTGATTTTCTTTATTATATGAAGTTCAATTTCGGATCTCACCGTTGTTTGCTTGGCTTTGTCAAAAAAAGTACTCTTCAAGCGTGTTACCAAACTAGCCTGTTAAGCTCGTGAGTAAGCATGCGTTTCGACCAGGTTGGAGATTTAAGACCTCACTTCCTTAGCAAAAGTACGGCTGTCTTAATCTTGACCGTTCTTACTAAAACGCTATCTGAACTAGTCTATATCTATAGGGAGGTATTAAACCTCCAATCTTGTTTAATACGCGTGACTCTCAACTTAACTCGCTACAACGACAGCAATTTCAGTTTAAATCTGTGCTCATCTTATGTTAAGGTGAAAACTGAAAAGAACTATTCATGCGGTTGATGAAAACCAACTCATTTAAACACTTAATTGTCCACAGGTTGTGCACAGTTTACTCATGCCTACTTAGAGGTTGACTAGTCACTACTGCTGAATCCATAACTCTTGACCGAATTCAGGCAGTAAAATCCAAGCATTTTCATTGGTTACTTTTCCCAATCGATGCACCTTATCCAGCTTCCAGGAATGCTTGGTCTGGATTAAGTCCAGTCAGAATTTAACTGGTAATGGCCCAGTTAAATGTAAAAATTGTTTGATCTCGTTCGTAAACAAAAGAATCGATAAAACGGCTCAGTACTTGGCTTCTATGATTTTTTTCTCATGTTAAACTAGAATGGATAGACAAACACTTGACCGTATACACCTTCTGTTGCGAACTGTTTTGAGGTGTGACTTCTTGAGTAAACGAGGCCAATGTTGCTCCCTGCTTTGGTTCAGAGCAATTATACGGATAACCCACTAGAAAATAATGAATCTTTTCCATTTCAGTTCATGGGAATTTCAGTCCGTATAAGCTGGCCGCTGCAACCTTCCAAAAATACAAAAGTGAATAGAGGTCAGCTAACAATATTCAACTAACAATATTCCTATTCACCTCACTGTCGTCTGAACAGTCCTTCCACTGTCCCGGCTCAGTTACTCCGTTTAGTCTATACCAAAATGAAGAAGCACCCGACGGAATTCAGATCTTGTTGGCAGTGCACCTCCTTGGCGGTGCGGGGTGTGGAATTCCGGACATCTGACAAGTGTGTCCCCATTGCTGCACCAGCACACGCTGTACGCATCTCTCTGAACAGGCGAGTGTGACTAGTTTTACCAGTCCCGATCGACTGACTCGCCTGTCAGGACTTTCCAGTCTGGTTGTTCCAGAGATGCTGGCAACTCCGCTTTGCTTGAGCTTCGCTTAGTTTTAGGTGGTTGCTGCATTTGAAGAGTTTCTGCTGGACAAACCAATCACGTCACTCAAGCGCGACCCTGTTCGCCTGTTCAGAGGTGATAACTGAGATGCGTGCAGCGTATGCTAGTGGAGTAGTGGTAACACACTCACCTCGCGTATCAGATGTTCGGAATTCAGGCCCGTGCACAGCCATGCAGATGCGCTGTTGATGAGCTCTAGCAAGAGCGAAACTCAACCTCACTACATCTCACCAGACTCACCTGAATAATTTCGCCAGGACAGAATGAAGACTGATGTGAGTTCTTAAAATCCAGGAGGCATCTACTTTTAATGTCAATAATTCTGGTGTCTAACATACTATCGGCTCAGGAACAGACAATCGAGCATGAAATCTACCTCATTCCATTCTTAATCTTTCAGGTTAACTGAGAATGCAGCTGGAAAAAAACTGATTACGAAAAACTTCGTGTTGTCCTAAACGAAGTAGACGTGTACTCTGTCGTTCTGAACCGAGCTTTATTAGCATTCGCCAGAGTACTTTATTAAAAACAGTTTGACGAGCAGCGGGGAATATTTTACGGATGTTACCAAGTCCACTCAAGATGTTATACATATCCTTCTCGGAAAGCTCGGGTTTCAAGAATTTCGCAGCCAGATAGGCGAACGAAACTTGTTATAGAAAATGCACAATCAAACTGGACGAGGTGCGAACTGTTACATTTTCTAAGGTCAAAGGGTTATGAACCCACATAGATTTAGAGATCAGTAGGCGGTGCTGAGAAGTAGCGTACAACATGGAAGTGGTGTTTACTTCGCTGTGTCGAGAGTGGTAATCGGTCGTCAGTACGCTTCCTGGCCCTAACAGACGGACTTTTTGACACTGGATCTATATTTTCCAGTGGTGAAGAATACATGGGGAACCCAAATGAAGACGGGGAAACAAGTTCATTAGGTCCTGAAACGGCACGAGAATTTCAATGCTGGCATAGATTGAACCAGACTAGAACGTTCTGACCTGGGATGAGCTTCATAAAAAGCTATCCAGCAAAGCACAATCTTCTGTTCAAGCGCAATCTAATTGCCTTATTGATCGGCCACAATGAAATAACAATTGCTCGGGCTGATATTTAGGGGATTAGGGATTCTAGTCTCCTCAGAGATACACTCTGCTGATAAATCTAAACGGTGAAGAAACAGCTTTGCACTGATTCTCGGGTTTTTATTTGCTTTGATTGATTTCAGAGGCAGAATCCTTTGACCTGGCAGAGGGGTATGGAAGATATTGCTGTCGGTGCGGCTGGCCTTCCAGGATGGGGCCAACGTTATCTGCTGTCCATGGTTCGAGGCACTGCAAGATATGACTGCTAATCAATCTCAACGGCGTTCTTGTAGTAGGCCTAAATGAGTGTAGATACCTAGAAATGATTGTGAAAGACTAGTACTAAGTCCTTTCCCATTCACTTTCTCTTCTTTACAACAAGGATTTCAAATAAAGTATGGTTGAACGGAAGCAGTTCATCAGTGTTTGAACACTACCGAGGTTCATGACGATGAATCACGAGCTGCGTCAAACTCATAGGCCGTCTTACACTACTCCTACGCGGTTGCCTTTGTTTTACATACGCAATGAGGGCATTTAAGGTCACCACAAGGAAATTCGTGACAGACTAACTGAGTATTAAGGTCACGTTTATTCCACTCGTATCTCACCATTCGGCGTTCGCTCAACGCTCAAGAAATTAACCCAACCTGGACCGACCACTGACCAGTGTACAGCTCTCATTCATTAACAGGACGGAAGTTCACATGTCTACATGAAGCTCGGATGGGCGATAAGAAGAAAGTTTTTAGTCCATTCAGATTGTAGTCGAGTCGGCATCGAAGCTAAAATCGACTGCGTTATT